CTCACACACACACACACACACAACTTCATTAGCATATTTCTCCCTGTAGAGCCAGCTCAACTTGTTCTTCCTTTTTAAGTAACAGACCACACTCCCATGGCGATCACGCTAAAGGAAAAGATGCCTTAAAAGATGTTAGAATCAGGGAGAAGCAAGAAGATCTGTGAAGGCCTTGAGCAGCCTGGCTTTTGAAAAGAAGCACTATGGTGTAACAGAAAGGGTACACCTCAGAGACGCAGGAGACTTGTGTTCTCGTTCTTGTTCCAGTCTCACCATGAGCCCTGGGACAAGTCATTTAACTGCTCTGAGCCTCAGTTTCTCCAAGCAGAAAACGGGTGAAATCCTGCTTACCCTTGCCTCTCCTGCACGTGTGTGTGGAAGGGAAGTCATGTGTGTGGCACTTTGCACTTCACGGCATTCCCACATTTTGGGGCTAATGATTTGGAAATCAAAGCGGTACCCTGAGTACCAGATTGCCCTCTTTCATCTCTTGGTTCTCTGACCACCTCAAGTTTTGTGGCGAGTTCCAGAGGGTGTGAATTCTCTAACCAAGACTCTTGGGCTCTTCTAATCATTGCCCCTGAGGGAACTTTCAGGGAACCACTTATTATCGTGGCTTCGTGTAGCAGTCTGCTCCCAGAGCTCAGTCCACTCCAGGGAGGATGTCAAGAAAAGAGGAGCTGAAAATAAACTTAGAGAATTTTTTTTTCCACACCTAGGCTTCCTTAGAAAATAGGAGTCTCACTGATGAAATGTAAAGGAGAGTCGCTTGGTGAAGTGAAGGCAAGCCCGTGTTTCTTTCTCATGTGGTTTTTTAAAGGAGTGTGATCTGTCAGCACCAGACAAGAATGACAGGGAAAAAGTACGGAAACGGATCCTTGTCCCCCGGCTGTCTCCCGCTCCTACCCACCACCGTTTCTCTCAATATAGTATTACAAGCACACCAAGTTTTCATCTATCTGTCTTGGTGAGATCCTTCAAAGAGACCAAGACTCCCAGTGGCGTCTCAGGCTACTCCCTTGCCCCCACTCTTGCTCCCCAAAATCTGCCTCTAAGGTATTTATTTTTCATTAGATGAGCGGTGAAAGCAATTTTGGGTCTAGATAAATTTCCAGCAAATAGATTTTTTTTCTTTTCCCACAGGATCCTAAGTAGATAAGTCATTGCAACAAATTATCACTGTTAATTGTTCTCAGTTCCCAATTGTTTAATACTCTACTGCCGATTACTGCTTGCCTTCTCTCAAATAGACTAACCTGTATTTTAAATTGACTTCCCCCTCTTTTTCTTTATAAATACAGCAAAGTAATTGACAAGAGGGTGGCATAGCCACTTAAAGGCTTCATATGTTTATTACACCTTCAGTAGAGGACCCGGCACTGAGCCCTGAGGTGGGCTGCTGCCTCCATGTTCTAGTTTCCTGCCACCCTTTCTACCTCACATACCCAAATAAGAATCCCTTGAATGACTGAATCGTTTCTTCCTCTTATCACTAACGATAATAATAATTGCTGTTGAATCAATTCCAACTCATGGTGACCCCATGTGTGTCAGAGTAGAATTGTGCTCCATAGGGTTTTCTTTTTATTTTTTTATAATTTATTTGTTGCTGTGACTATACACAGCAAAACATCCACCAATTCAACAGTTTCTACATGTGCAATTTAGTGACATTGATTACATTCTTCAAGTTGTGCAGCCATTCTCACCATCCTTTCTCACCCTCTTTTCACGAGTTGTTCCTCCCTCATTAAAATTAACTCACTGCCCCCTAAATTTCCTGTCTAATCTTTTGAGTCGCTGTTGTCAATTTGATCATATATAGTAGATCTTAAAAGAGCATAATGCTCAAGGCAGACATTCTTCACTAGTTAAGCTAAACTATTGTTTAGTTTTAAGAAGACTTCAGGGGTAATTTTGGTTTAAGATTTAAAGATTATCTCAGGGCAATAGTTTCAAGGGTTCGTTCAGCCTCCATGGCTCTAGAAAGTCTAGATTCCATGAGAATTTGAAATTCTGTTCTGTGTTTTCCCGCTTTTTATCAGGATTCTTCTATAGCATCTTTGATCAAAATGTTCAGTAATGGTACCCAGGCACCATCCAGTTCTCATCTCATGGCAAAGGAGGCAGTTGTTCATGGAGGCAATTAACCACACATTTCATTTCCTCCTCCTGTTCCTGACTCCTTCCTCTACTGCTCCAGACCAATAGAGACCAATTGTTGTGCCTTGGATAGGTGCTTGCAAGCTTTTAAGACCTAAACACTACTTAACGAACCAGGAGGTAGAACAGAAACACTAAACATGTTATTAAGCCAATTAACTGGGATGTCCTATGAAACCATAACCCTAAACTTCCAAACCAAGGAACCAAATCTCATGAGGTGTTTGGTTGTACATAAGTAGCCTCAGGCTCCATAGGGTTTTCAATGGCTGATTTTTCAGAAGTAGATAGCCAGGCCTTTCTTCTGAGGCACCTCTGGGTGGACTTGTACCTCCAACCTTTTGGTTAGCAGCCAAGCATGTTAATTAACCATTTGTACCACCCAGGGACTCCCCTCTTATCACTACCTTATGCTTAACTAAGGTACAGAGCCTCTATGGGGGCTGTTTCTTTGCCTCCTTAGGGCTGAAGTGTAACTTGTTTCCTTTCCTACAGCATCAGCTCCACCTACAGGAAGAAAGTCTACTCTCAAAACACAGTGCAGTCAGGACCACTGTGGAATAAGAGTGTTTTCACCCTAGAGGCTGGGGAAGCCATCAGATGTTGTAGATTGGAGGAAACCTGCATTGTCTTTTTCATCAGGACAGAGTATGAGGTTTTCCTTCTTTAGGATAGAGTCAGACCAAGCTTAAATGATCCTGACGTTTTCTTGCTAACTCAAGAATGTTAGAGTATGTTCCCAGATCTGGTTTCTAATTGCAGCTATTTTTTCTTTCAGCAGACTCAGTAAGATGGACATGGAAGACTGCAATGGCCACTCCTACATGTCTGGTATGCCCTCTCATGTGTTCTGTTTGTAAGGGGCTGGGTAGGGTAGGGCAGGGCAGAGAGCCTTCACCCTAGGCACAGGACCTCTAACTGCCCTAGTCACAAAGCTGACACTCATGCTTGCTATTACTTGGTAATACACGATTATTGTTGTGGTTTTATGTTCCCTAAAAGGTGATTTTCTTCCTTAGACTTCTTGGGTGACAGGGTAGGCGGAAGGGACTAGGAGCGGAATATGAGTAGAGACCATCAGAGAGAAGAAGAATGGAAAAAGATGGAAGGAAGAAGTGGTTCCTTCTCCTGCACTCTGAGGTCACCAGCCAAAGATGAAATTTTGTCCCATCCAGGTAGAGTGTGAAGCAGGGTTTCAAGCCTCCGAGGCCTGCAGGGGTCATTGGGTATGTCAATGAGTGAAGTGAGTTAGGGTAATAAGCAGAAAAGATTAGTGGGAACTGGTGTGAACTGGAGAGCACATGTCCCATCTCAAGGGGACAGCATCTGTTCAGGTGCCACTAGTCACTCCATGAAGGAATATGCAACCAGTGTGGCCAAAACCTCCAATTTTTCAAAATGATGTATATAAATTTCCAGATTTTTGTTTGGAATGTCACCATTTTAAAATACTGACTCAGTATTTTTAAAAATGCTCCATGGGGTAAGCCAGACTTATCAGTGGCTGCATTCAGCCAGTAGGCCACCAGTTTACAACCTTGGAAGTAGGCATATAGAGCCCTATTCTCATTTCCTCCAGTCCTTTTCCGTGATCTTAACATGCTTTGGCTTTTGACACCTGTCAGATACTCTTACTGAGACAGAAGAGATCTTTGCTTATGGTATGAATGGCTTTTAGAGATGTGGAAGTAATCAGGAGCCTCCCAAGTTTTAACAAAGTAGAAAGAAATTAGGAACTTTATCTGGCTCAATCTCTGAGAGTATAGAAAAGGGCTGAAGGCAGAGTTTGTCTCTAAGACAAAAGGAATCTTTTTTTTTTTTTTTGAACCATTAGAATGCCAGGACAGGGAATAATTAAGAGGCAAGGGAAGCCAGGACTGGTTTTTGACATCAAGAGTATCCCCAACAGAAATCCAAGCACCACTGCACCGCGGTGGAAATTACCTATAGCTGCATTTTCACTCCAAAGTGGCACCAATGGAGGAATGATTAGTCTGAGCTAAGGGAGATAGCAAGATGGGTCAGACAGACATGAGAATCATTGGCAACACCTGGGTAATATAAGGTAAGATACTGAATCTGACCCCTTTCTCATGTGAGGAGGGAAGGGGAAGACGAACGTGTCCCTTAACTTACCACACAGATTCTCTCTCCAGTCCTTATCTTTCAAGGGAAACTGAGTTGCTCAAACCTAGTTCATGCAATTAGTTGACTGAGCAGTCCTTGCGCCAAGTTTTCTGGGACTGTGAAATGTTTAAGAGAACTTTAGTAAGAAGGGATCCAGGGGTAGGCAGCCCAAAGTGTCACAGCCCCTCCCACCCTCAAATTCTTGGAATCAGAAAATCTAGTCTTCTGAAGTAGGTCAGCACGTCAGTGAGCAACTCCTTTAGAAGGGAAGCAGCAGAGGCCTTGTCCTGATAGAGGGCAGATTCATCCACGGCCGCCAGCTGCTGGGGCCCTGGGAGCACAGGAGGGGAGGGAAGGTGGGGAGACTGTACCCGTGTTTTTGCCTGGGATCTGAAAGGGCTCAGGGCCACAGAGCAGCGCTAGCCTGGGACGGGACAGTGCTGAGCCCTCAAAGCTGGGAAGGAGGAAGCTCAGTCCCCAGATCTGAGAGCACGTCCCTTCTGGATGAGGAGGGAAAGGAGTGCCTAAGTTTGGTGGGGGAGGGGCTTTCTGCCACTCTGAGAGCCTCGAAGCTGCCCGGTGTCCTGGGCCCCATGACCTCTGGGGCCTTGGCTTTCCCAGCTGGCAGAGGATTGGGCCTTCCCTGCATCCCCCCCTTTTCCCTCCCACCCTGCAAGCCCATCCATCTCTCTCTCTGTCTCTTGCACACACTTGCCTCTCCCAGGCATTTGTTGTGCAGTTTCTCTTTGTCTGCTGGGCACGAGGGCAAGGCATCTGCCTCCCCCTCCCTGTGCATGCCCCTACTCCCACCCCTTCACTGATTTGGGAAAGGGATGCTTTAGGCTAGCACAACCCCCCCCACCACCGGACACACATAGACATTCTCTCCAGCCCCCTCCCCAACAACATCCAAGCTCTGTCACACACGCTCCCGCGCTCGCTCACTCTCTCTCTCACACACACACACAGACACACAGACACACACACACACGCACACACACACACACACACTCACACACATTCACCCTGGGCTGAGCTCTTCTTGCTGGCTGCAGCGGTGGGCCCCTGCTCACCGTGCCGCTGCCGCTGCCTGCGAAATGACGGCGGTTCCCCTCACTTCCAGGAATCCACGCTTCCTGGAAGGTGAGTGGCTGGGCTCACCCCTGCCTGCCACCGAGACGCAGACATGCACACACCACCCGCACTCCCTCGCCGTTTCCAAGGCGGCGGCCGCGCTCACACCCCAGGGTCTCACCGGCAAGGGAAGGATAATGTAAGTTCAGGCAGAAGGCGGCTAGTGGAGGGGGGAGGGGGGGTACCGAGGCTAGGGAGCCAATTCTGTAACAACTCCCAAGCCTGAGGAGAGGAAGAGGATGGGGGCTGTGTG